CTGATCAGTTATTGTGAAAAGTAAGAAATAGAGAGGGGGCGGAGACTAGACGATCAGAGGATCTGACCTGATTGGGGAACATTGGGGGAGTATTTAGAGAGGGGCTCAGCATGGTTGTGGGAAAGAGTGGGAAATTATTGTAGCTGGGGAAATCATTTGTCTAATTCAGGGGTGGGTAACTTTTGCACTCCTGCTGTGGTGAAAATCAGAAACTGATCAGTTATTGTGAAAAGTAAGAAATAGAGAGGGGGCGGAGACTAGACGATCAGAGGATCTGACCTGATTGGGGAACATTGGGGGAGTATTTAGAGAGGGGCTCAGCATGGTTGTGGGAAAGAGTGGGAAATTATTGTAGCTGGGGAAATCATTTGTCTAATTCAGGGGTGGGTAACTTTTGCACTCCTGCTGTGGTGAAACTATAATAGAGATGACACAATCATGTAAATCCTGGTTCCTGTGCAGTTCTTGGCTGTGTTTACAAAATGTCTGACACAGGTCAACCCATGCTGCAGCCCCTCACCTTGTGACAATGTTACATACTGATCACTGGGGGAGGGGAGACTGAGGAAATGCTTCCTCCTGCCTGCAGCAGACTGCTAACATTATTTTGAAGTAAGTTCATTGGACTAGAAGAGGGCGGAGCTTTTCTGAAAACAATGATCCTATTGCTGTATATAACGAATTGTCCCGAATACGGTCACTGACAGGTCCACTTTAGCATATTTCTCTTCTTTGGACGATTGCAGAATCATGAGTGTCCTGCCGTTGCTCTCGGTGGCCTTGTCCTTCCTCCTCACCCTTCTATTCCTCGTTTCCTATTGGAGAAAGCCGAAGAAATATAAGTCTTTACCTCCAGGACCGTCCCCGATTCCTTTCCTGGGGACCCCCAAATATGTCGGTGACAGGGCTGGCTGCAAATACTTTCCAGAGGTACGTGGCTGAAGGTCTGCATGGACGCATCACACAGAACACGCACATACATGCACAAAACATACAAACATTTCCCACACACACACACACATAGACAGAAAACATACAAACATTGGGGGGAATTCATCAAAACTGGAGCAGTTGCTAATGGCAACCAATCAGCTTCTCTCTACAGTTTGCTCAGGTAAGATTTGAAAATGAGACAGAGAAGCTGATTGGCTGGAGTTAGGGCTGCCACCTTTTCATCAAGTGAAACCCGAACACTCTAGCACAGCGCGCTGCTTTTTTCTTTTTGGGTGAATATAGAAGAGAGAGCGAGGAGAGGCAGCCAGGGGAGTGAGTAAGGAGACCGGCTATAGAGCTCTGCAAATTCCAGCAATACAAAATATCATGAAACAACATACTCTGTGTTGTTCTGGGGCAGTACCTTGATGTCTCCAGGCTCTCAAGTGGCCTGTGCGGGCTCTCAGGTGGCCTGTGCGGGCTGTCAGGTTGCCTGTGCGGGCCCTCAGGTGGCCTGTGCGGACTCTCAGGTGGGCTGTGCGGGCTCTCACATGGCCTGTGCGGACTCTCAGGTGGCCTGTGCGGGCTCTCACATGGCCTGTGCGGGCTCTAAGGTGGCCTGTGCGGGCCCTCAGGTGGCCTGTGCGGGCCCTCAGGTGGCCTGTGCGGACTCTCAGGTGGGCTGTGCGGGCTCTCACATGGCCTGTGCGGACTCTCAGGTGGGCTGTGCAGGCTCTCACATGGCCTGTGCGGACTCTCAGGTGGGCTGTGCGGGCTTTCAGGTGGCCTGTGCGGGCTCTCAGGTGGGCTATCAGGGCTCTTAGGGTGGCTATGCGGATTCTCAGGTGGGCTATTTGGGCTCTAAGGAGTGCTGTGCGGGCTCTCAGGTGGGCTATGCTTACTCTCAGGCGGGCTATGCGGGGTCTCAGGGTGGGCTATGCAGGCTTTCAGGCGTGCTGTGCAGGCTCTCAGGCGGGCTATGCGGGGTCTCAGGGTGGGCTATGCAGGCTTTCAGGCGTGCTGTGCAGGCTCTCAGGCGGGCTATGCGGGGTCTCAGGGTGGGCTATGCAGGCTTTCAGGCGTGCTGTGCAGGCTCTCAGGCGGGCTATGCGGGGTCTCAGGGTGGGCTATGCAGGCTTTCAGGCGTGCTGTGCAGGCTCTCAGGCGGGCTATGCGGGGTCTCAGGGTGGGCTATGCAGGCTTTCAGGAGTGCTGTGCGGGCTCTCAGGCGGGCTATGCGGGCTCTCAGGGTGGGCTATGCAGGCTTTCAGGAGTGCTGTGCGGGCTCTCAGGCGGGCTATGCGGGCTCTCAGGGTGGGCTATGCAGGCTTTCAGGAGTGCTGTGTGGGCTCTCAGGCGGGCTATGCAGGGTCTCAGGGTGGGTATGCAGGCTCTCAGGCGGGCTATGCGGTTTCTCAGGGTGGGCTATGCAGGCTTTCAGGAGTGCTGTGTGGACTCTCAGGCGGGCTAGACAGAGTAGGCGGTGTGAGGGGAAGGCGCCCACATCTCACAGGAAGATGCAGTTGCCGCTGTCTGAAGTCCCGCGCATGCTGGGAACCTGGGCAGACGCATACAGTACTGTATGTTGAAAAATTTAAAGTGCCGCTATCAGCACTTAGTGTCTTGTGTCTGGGTGTCAGCTGGCTGGAAACCTGGACACAAGACGCAAAAACCGGACTGTTCGGGTGAATCCCGGCGCAAAAAAATACCTTAATGGATATTTTAACCCCTCGCTGCTCTATGTAAACGCCACAAAACAGAGTAATAACCGCCATGAAGTGTATTACACCAGAACAATGGAAGACATCTTGCGGCATCCCCGGTGTTCTATCGAAAGCTCCAACTCAACGAAATCTCCAACTCCCTCACTTCCGGTGCTCAGAAATACTTGGAGCTCTGTACAGTTGCGGTGCACATGTGCGCATAGCGTTTTTCAGAATACTCGTCGAATTTGCCACCTGCTGAATATTGTTAAAATGCAGCCGCACAGAAGCTCCGTCAGCCTTTGTGTTTTGCGGTCTTAACGCCGTCTGCTAGAAATCTCCAACTTCCAAGTACCCGGCAGTGAGCTAGTTGGAGATTTCGACGAGTTGGACCTTTCGATAGAACGCCGGCATTCATTGCACAACAGCCGTGAAGGATCCTGTATAGTATCTCTAGTACTAAATGTCAGCACATTGGATGACACATAAACACACACATGGGCCTCTGTCAGGTTTTTATTTAGTAGACTTTCCCCTAATTCTTGTCCTGTACAGGAAGTGATGAGAAATCTCTCCAGCAAATTTCATTTTTGGGTGTCACCGGAACAGGAAGTGGGAGCAGAACCTCTTTGGGGTCACAACAGAAAAACAGAAACACGAACCTGGCAGATATTGTAACCCTTCCTTCATTCAATCCAAAACTAAAGAAGAGAACCGGCTTTAAGACCTTAGTACCCAATCTCCAAATAAACAGGGAAAGGTCCACAACAAAAATCCAAGAACATTAAAAACTGGGGGTTGAGGGCGTGAAAGGCTCAGTGGTCTCGGGTATGTATAGGAATAAATGAGAGTTGGCGCTGGGACGGTGACCGGATCTCCTTCATGGTCTCTGTATCTGACTGATGGAATTCTGTCAGGTGCCCATAAGACATGAAGATCGCAGGTTGTACAAGCTGTCCAATGAGATGAGAGCAAGATGGACTGCAATGGTCATCCTGCAGGCGGCAAAGCCGCTGGACCACCATGACAGGAACCCGTCATCTGTCCTGACATCCGCTGTCATGGGGGCCGTGGGAACCGACACGCCTGCCGAGTGACGTTCGGCTTCCAGGGAATGAAATCTTCTCGTCAGACTTTCTGTGATAATTAAAACATTGTAACCACTCTTCTGTCTCAGCTCTGCAGGCAGTACGGCCCGATATTCACCATCTGGAAGTTCACCGACCCCGTGGTGGTCCTCTGCGGGTACGACGTGGTGAAGGACGCTCTTCTGAATCACGGGGATCAGTTCAGCGGCAGACCGCCCGCTCCAGTGATCGATTACTACTCCGAGGGATACAGTAAGGAACGAGGAATATACGTCCTGAAACGCGTGTCGGGGTCCATCGCCATAGCAACACTCCGGTCTAATATTTTGTGATTCACGGTTACGGATGAGGACTCGTATTTGCCCAACTGTTCATAATTACTGGCTTCACAATGTACCAAAATTTCGCCAAAATTGGATAACAAAATAATTCAAAGCAGGCCATGATAAAAAAAAAACCAACCTCCAGCTGTGGTGAAACTACAAATCCCATGATGCATCTCTCTTCGGGAGTCATGTCTGGGGCTGTCAGAATCTTGCAGTGCCTCATGGGATTTGTAGTTCCACCGCAGCTGGAGGGCCGGAGGTTTGAGACCCCTGCTTTAAAACATTGGCAGCGTGATGTTTGCACCACCTTTCCCACCTTTCCTTTTGCACCCGAGGCAAGAACGGAAAATTGTGACCCCCCCCACAGACGTGTGCGGTACGTGACGTCATGCGCCCCGCCTCCAGAATGGCGGTGCGCAATTTTTTTTTTTACTGTTAGGGGGCTTCGGGGAAATATTAGAGGTCTAAACAGACCTGTTTCCCTTTTGAAATAGAATAAGAGATTGAAGACACAGAGTCCTCTTCCCATACAGGCAGTGGAGAGCAGCAGGGATCTGAGGAGAAGCTGGAGCCTGTGCCGCTCCTCTTCTCCCTGCTGAGCCGCGGCTGTGTTGGCCGCCTGGCGCCCCTGTTGCCAATGGCGCCCTGTGCTTGCCATGGCAACAGGGGGCGAGGGAGCGCAGCCAGGCCCAAAGAGAAGCTGGAGCCTGTGCCGCTCCTCTTCTCCCTGCTGAGCCGCGGCTGTGTTGGCCGCCTGGCGCCCCTGTTGCCAATGGTGCCCTGTGCTTGCCATGGCAACAGGGGGCGAGGGGGCGCAGCCAGGCCCATGGTAGCTACAGCCCTGACTTCTACTGAGATGTAATCAAAAGCTTCTCGCTGCCGTTTCTTGGCTGTAAACACATTCACATTCATGTACTGAGTGTGAATGACAACAGGGTGAATCACCATTCACCACATCTCAAGTCCTCCACTCCCCCTCCCAGAACCTATTCAGTGTTTAACACATTGACAGAGAAGTCCATTGGAAAAATAAAACATTTGTATAAATGGACTTCTTTATCAGTGATAACTCACCATGTTGTCATCCATGCCTGGTTCCTGACTGACAGAAGCGCCCTGACCAGTCACCATAAACAGCAGCGGTATCGGTTTTAGAAAAGCTCCGCCTTTTATCATTAAAGATCCGTCCTCGGTCTCCAGTCAGTGATTTTAGGCTGAGATGGTCTTTGTTGGTTGCTGTTGCCGCAGAGTTTACGCCCAGTCTCCTCTCCACAGGTTTTCCCAGCCTGTCAGGCGAACGATGGCGTCAGCTGCGCCGGTTCACCATAACGTCACTGCGCAATTTCGGGATGGGGAAGAAAACGATGGAGGAGCGAGTGCTGGAGGAATCCCAGAGTCTGATCGAGGCCGTGACCCAGACAGGAGGTGAGCCAGAGACCTTCCGTCTGTTGTATGGATGCGGCAGCTGGGGAAAGTGCAATCTGGGTGCAAGATACCACAGCAGACCATCAGAGGTCTAGTGGGGTCCATGCCTTGAGGGGTCAGGAGAAGGGGGGCCCACTCAATATTAGGGGGGTGGTTATTATCTTGTGGTTGATCGGTGTATATATTGTTGCTAAATGTACCTCGGTATAGATATGGACAGGAGGCGGAGTCTGCAGGAGCCAGACCTGCGGTCCACTGATTGTGGTCACAATGCTTTACTGACTCTAATTTCTAAAAGGTGGAATTTCCCTTTAAAAGGCCCCGAAGGGCTGCAATACAAGCCTTCGATCCAGAGCCGCTTCCTGCAGTACCTCTTCTGTGCCACTAGATGTCCTCAGTCTTCCGGGATGAATGACGTTCACTAGATGTCCTCAGTCTTCCGGGATGAATGACGTCCACTAGATGTCCTCAGTCTTCCGGGATGAATGACGTCCACTAGATGTTCTCAGTCTTCCGGGTTGAATGACGTCTACTAGAAGCTTCTCGCTGCCGTTTCTTGGCTGTAAACACATTCACATTCATGTACTGAGTGTGAATGACAACAGGGTGAATCACCATTCACCACATCTCAAGTCCTCCACTCCCCCTCCCAGAACCTATTCAGTGTTTAACACATTGACAGAGAAGTCCATTGGAAAAATAAAACATTTGTATAAATGGACTTCTTTATCAGTGATAACTCACCATGTTGTCATCCATGCCTGGTTCCTGACTGACAGAAGCGCCCTGACCAGTCACCATAAACAGCAGCGGTATCGGTTTTAGAAAAGCTCCGCCTTTTATCATTAAAGATCCGTCCTCGGTCTCCAGTCAGTGATTTTAGGCTGAGATGGTCTTTGTTGGTTGCTGTTGCCGCAGAGTTTACGCCCAGTCTCCTCTCCACAGGTTTTCCCAGCCTGTCAGGCGAACGATGGCGTCAGCTGCGCCGGTTCACCATAACGTCACTGCGCAATTTCGGGATGGGGAAGAAAACGATGGAGGAGCGAGTGCTGGAGGAATCCCAGAGTCTGATCGAGGCCGTGACCCAGACAGGAGGTGAGCCAGAGACCTTCCGTCTGTTGTATGGATGCGGCAGCTGGGGAAAGTGCAATCTGGGTGCAAGATACCACAGCAGACCATCAGAGGTCTAGTGGGGTCCATGCCTTGAGGGGTCAGGAGAAGGGGGGCCCACTCAATATTAGGGGGGTGGTTATTATCTTGTGGTTGATCGGTGTATATATTGTTGCTAAATGTACCTCGGTATAGATATGGACAGGAGGCGGAGTCTGCAGGAGCCAGACCTGCGGTCCACTGATTGTGGTCACAATGCTTTACTGACTCTAATTTCTAAAAGGTGGAATTTCCCTTTAAAAGGCCCCGAAGGGCTGCAATACAAGCCTTCGATCCAGAGCCGCTTCCTGCAGTACCTCTTCTGTGCCACTAGATGTCCTCAGTCTTCCGGGATGAATGACGTTCACTAGATGTCCTCAGTCTTCCGGGATGAATGACGTCCACTAGATGTCCTCAGTCTTCCGGGATGAATGACGTCCACTAGATGTTCTCAGTCTTCCGGGTTGAATGACGTCTACTAGATGTTCTCAGTCTTCCGGGATGAATGACATCCACTAGATGTTCTCAGTCTTCCTGGTTGAATGATGTCCTCTAGATGTCCTCAGTCTTCCTGGTTGAATGACGTCTACTAGATGTTCTCAGTCTTCCGGGTTGAATGACGTCTACTAGATGTCCTCAGTCTTCCTGGTTGAATGACGTCTACTAGATGTCCTCAGTCTTCCGGGTTGAATGACGTCCACTAGATGTTCTCAGTCTTCCTGGTTGAATGACGTCTACTAGATGTTCTCAGTCTTCCGGGTTGAATGACGTCTACTAGATGTCCTCAGTCTTCCGGGTTGGATGACGTCCACTAGATGTCCTCAGTCTTCCGGGTTGAATGACATCCAGCATGGCTCAGCTTGGAAGACTGAGGACTCTTCTGTGAATGCAGGTTGTCATGGACCCACCCCCTGAGAGGGAAGGGGGTCACAATGGCCTTCCTGTACACACTGTACTCCTGAATCAATATGGACCATTCAGCCCGGAGAAGAGGCAACAATGAGGATCCTGCAGCATCACCGGACTGGGAAAGATAAGTATTAACACAAAAGATATAGCTGGGGGGACCACAAGTAGGTTCGGGCTTCCTGATGGTGACAACATTGCACCATGTCTGTGTGCTGAAACACCCACATGTAGTCTCCATTGGAAGTCCATGTCACAGGGTGACAACACAAGAGCAAAATTGGGAGACAGAGACCATGCTTCACCCTATAACAGGAAGTTCCCGAACAAGGGCCTTCACGGCAGGATCACTGGGGAAGATTTTGATGAAAGCTGCAGATTTAAGAGATTGAATGTGATTTTTTAAATGAACGTGTCACCTTTCAGATTTTTGATTTTGGATTTACATCTCCTTCAATGAACTCTCCGTCTTGTCAGGAAAGGCGTTCAGCGCCCTCAACGTCCTGGGCTGCGCGGTGGGGAACATCACCAGCTACGCTCTATTGGGGGAACACTTTGATTACAAGGACCCGAAGTTACAGGAACTGATTATCACCACCAGGAAGTTCATATTCAACACCCACTCACCGCTGCACGAGGTACGTAGTATCAAAATTTGAAATTGCTTTAATCGCTTATAAAATGATCTTTAAAAAAAAAAAAAAAACATTTCGGGGGCCAAACACCCTTCATCGGGGCCCTGAAACTGTGCTAATGGCTGAATGGAGTGAAGTGGGTTACAGGGATATCTGTAGTTGGCAAAAGGAAACAATTAGGCCCCATTCACACGTAGCGATTTATCTCGCGATTTCCGCCGCGATATCGCGCATTTTTGCCGCGCGATATCGCGAGAAGTCGCCGGCTAATGATATTCAATGGAGCTGTCTTAGCTCCATGTCGCGCGTCGCGGTCGCAAGTCGCTTCTACAGGACCCTTTTTTTGGCGGATTTTGCGCGATTTTTTTCTAATGGAGCCCGACGGAGAAGGTCGCGCTACCGTCCCTGGGTCGTCGCTGGAACGTCGCCCCGAAAGTCGCGCTATCCCGGCCGCTGCAAAAGGTATGTCGCTACGTGTGAATGGGGCCTTAACGTTCATGTATAGTGGCCACACTATAAATACTTATTCCCTATGCTCCTCAGCGCCACCTAGTGGTCATAATATAAATACTTATTCCCTATGCTCCTCAGCGCCACCTAGTGGTCATAATATAAATACTTATTCCCTATGCTCCTCAGCGCCACCTAGTGGTCATAATATAAATACTTATTCCCTATGCTCCTCAGCGCCACCTAGTGGCCATAATATAAATACTTTTTCCCTATGCTCCTCAACGCCATCTAGTGGCCACAATATAAATAAATACTTATCCCCTATGCTCCTCTGCGCCAACTAGTGGCCACAATATAAATAAATAAGTATTTCCTATGCTCCTCAGCACCATCTGGTGGCCATAATAATAAATACTTATTTCCTATGCTCATCAGCGCCATCTAGTGGCCATAATAATAAATACTTATCCCCTATGTTCCTCAGCGCCATCTAGTGGCCATAATATAAATAAATACTTATCCCCTATGCTCCTCTGCGCCATCTAGTGGCCACAATATAAATAAATATTTCCTATGCTCCTCAGCGCCATTTAGTGGCCATAATATAAATAAATACGTATCCCCTATGCTCCTCTGCGCCAACTAGTGGCCACAATATAAATAAATAAGTATTTCCTATGCTCCTCAGCGCCATCTAGTGGCCATAATAATAAATACTTATTTCCTATGCTCCTCAGCGCCATCTAGTGGCCACAATATAAATAAATACTTATTTCCTATGCTCCTCAGCGCCATCTAGTGGCCATAATATAAATAAATACTTATTCCCGATGCTCATCAGCACCACCTAGTGGTCATAATTTAAATAAATACTTATTCCCGATGCTCATCAGCGCCATCTAGTGGCCATAATAATAAATACTTATTTCCTATGCTCATCAGCGCCACCTAGTGGTCATAATATAAATAAATACTTATTTCCTATGCTCCTCAGCGCCATCTAGTGGCCATAATATAAATAAATACTTATTCCCGATGCTCATCAGCGCCATCTAGTGGCCATAATAATAAATACTTATTTCCTATGCTCCTCAGCTCCATCTAGTGGTCATAATAGAAAAAAGCATCTTTGGCTATAAAGGCTGCACTGCAGCACAACAGAAGCCATGATTTGCATTGAATGTACTGGGAAAAAATGCAACAGGTTCTATTTTTTTCTGCTTTTAGCCCACACGCGTAATGCACAAATGTGTGCGGTGCGGTATATTGGGATGTACTCTAAATGGGCCCTAACTGCCCTACTCAAGCAAAAAAAATGTGCTGCCTATTCATGAACAAGCTGGGCAGTGAGAAGGGTCAGCATCTGAAGACTTTACATGTTTGGTGAGGAGGAGGATGAGTTGGGCCTCTACTTAGTCCTGAACTTACCATGTAGACCAAAAATGAATTTTCAGTAGATGTCTATGTGAGCTTTTTGGTGATGACCATCTATGGGGTGACCTTCCAGGGTCGGGAGTGAAGATACAATGTCTCCCCATACGGGATTTGTCACATGGCCTTAGCAGGGTTTGTGATCTGACGTTGTCACCTTGTCTGTCCGTCCAGCTGGGGAACACCTTCCCGATTCTCCTGAACGTGCCGATCCTGAAGCAGAAAATCTTCAAGGAGAGTTCGGAACTCAAAGCCTTCGTCCATAAGTACATCGAGCAGCACCGGCACAGCGTGAACCTGGCCGCCCCCCGAGATTTTATAGATTACTTCTTCATCAGGATCAAAGAGGTGAGAGGATGGCTGGAGGCCAGATTGTGTCCCCAACCCCCCCGGCGCCGGCCCCATGGGGGTGGGGTCTGGGTGGGAGTCGGGGGTTTGGGGGGTACAAGGAGAGGATTAAACATACCTTATAATCCGGGGGTAAGCAAATCCGAGTTTGCCTCCCCCTGATTATTATTATTATACAGGAGCTATATAGCGCCAGCAATTTGCGCAGCGCTTTACCAAATGGAGGAGACAATACAATTTCAGTACAGGAGGTAGGAGGGCCCTGCTCCTGAGAGCTTACAATCTAGTAGGAGGGGCCAGTGATACAATAGGTAATAATTGTGTGGGGGTGAGTAAAGGGAAGACATAAAAGCAGTGACGTGCGGTACCTCTGGTTCTGGGTGAGGCATTCCCCAGCCTCGCTCCCAGCACGTCCGGCTCCGCTGCCCGAAGCCCCCCCCCCACCCGGTCCCCAAGATAGTGTGAAGGCGGAAGGGAGGGGCCTCCCTGTCCCTCACTTGCTCGCCACTGCTGAAATAGTGTGAAGGAGGAAGGGAGGAGCCTCCCTGTCCCTCACTTGCTCGTCACTGCTGAGTCATCGAGATCGATGGCCTCAGTGGGTTTGTTTTTTTCTTTTTTTGATTGGACAGCTTGGACCAATGGCGATTTGCCATTGGTCCAAGCCATCCACGGAGCTCACGCCTATAACAAACAGTAGAGGCTGTGACAGCTCTGGCCTCACTAGGTTACACAAGCAGTGGGGAAGGCCGCTGCTGTGCAACCTAACTACCTGTCAAAAGCTGGATGCAGCGCTGCCTGTAACTAACATCCAGCGCTCCGTCCATGACAGGTCACACAGCGGGGAGGATTTCCTGATAGAAGCTGAATGGAGAAAAAGCTGTCAGCTTCAGGGCCTGTTCACACGACGTCCGTTTTCTGTGCTGACCAGATCCGTACGCTCCTGCACTAAAAATGCATCCCAATGTATCCCTATGTGTTTTATGGGCTCCAGTTCTCACGTGCGCAGTCCGTTCAGCTTACGACAGAAAAATACTGCATGTCACATTTTGTAAGGACCGGAAAAGCAAAACGCGTAAAAAATGCGTCAAAAACGCACTGCACTGCAGCTAACATACTGACAGCCCCACTCCAGCAAACTGGAACGCATCCAAAATGCGGCAAAAATGCACTGCATCAGCAGCACCGCGTCTGCAGATCCGCACCTGATCAGGACCTGATATCATGTGAACAGGCCCTCAGACTTGAAGCTGACAGCTTTTTCCTCCATAATAATAGGTGAGGCTCCGCCTCCCCTCCTCCCCTGACCGCACGTCCCTGTGTAAAAGGACAGTTATAATGTTGAGCTGAGATAGGCTTCCCTGAAGAGATGGGTTTTTAACGATCACCTAAAGGTGGGCAGCGTAGGAGATAGGTGGACAGATTGGGGTAAGGAGTTCCAGAGGATGGAGGACACTCTGAAGAGGAGGAGATATAGTCCAATGTGTGTCTGGACAAAATAAAACCATATTCGGCACGTCTCTGCAATACTCACTTCCCGGTATTTTGTCTCCTTGTAACAACTGTGCACAATGCATCAGAACGCGTATTAGCGGTTTCGTGCGTTGCCGTTGACTTCTTTGGGTCTCCCAATTGCATGAAAACGGAAATAAAGTCATATTTTCAGAAACAGGAAGAAGAGATTTTGATGTGGGGGAAGCTGGACCACGCGCAGCCAAATCTTCACGTGTTGTGTAAAAAAGAATCGCTTTCAGCACCAGGGAGAGCTCCTCCCACAGACCGCCATTGTACAGCATTGGAGAACATTGTCTCTGCGCAAATCACAATTAATCAGTTTTGGCTTTACGTTGTCTTTAAGGTCTCGTTCACACCTAGGCGTATTGCATATGCGCGTCTGTCGCGCGTTTTTTTTACCGCGTTTCCGAAGGCTACTTGGCTGTATCCCGATGGAAACGCGCAACAAAACGGCCCAAAGTAGTACCTGTACCTTTTCAGGCGTGTGCCGTTTTGTAGCGCGTTAGGGACGGGCGGAAATACGCCGAGGTGGGAACGAGACCATTGAATACAATGGGATTTATATTTTTGAGCGTTTTGTAGAGCGTTCGTCGAACGTAGAACGCGCTACAAAACGCTCAGGTGTGAACGAGGGCTAAAGGATGTATCAAAATTAACCCTTGCAGTGCCCGGGGGAGGGGGGGGGGTGTTACCTGGTCATGGTGCAAAAATAAAGAAGATACACTCGCCCGTTCCTCGGTCCTGCAGCAGTGACCACTCACCTCCCTCCGCTCCGGCTGTGGAATATTCCTCGGCGTCCTCGCACCTGCTAGACCTGTATTAGATGTAATGACGCCACGGGTCCTTAGACCGCCTGGGCCCAGGGGGAGAAGAAGCTGGTCTAGCAGTCAAGCAGGGCCGAGTATCAGGTGTTACCTTTATTTCCGCCCGTAGAGCAAAATGAGCAGTTAACCCTTGCCCCTTACGCGGGTGGGGGTGGG